GTAACTTGTAACAACAGTTTTGCGTCTAAAGCAAAGAAATACAATTAAGACATCATACCGTGTGGGTATTGAATTTGTAATAAAAGCTGGTAATATCAGCCGAAACCTTTGTCCTGCGCAAAATATTTCTACCGCTATATTGAATAAATATATTTATCTTACAAAATGTTATTAAATCATTAAAATTATATTTAATATAACTGAGTGGTTATCAGTTTGCCTGTGTTTTAAAGATAATAGTTCACACTCAAAGGGACAAAGAAGATTTTCTGTCACTAACTGCTAATTCCCTTGAGCATGGACTGCATTAAACTGTGCATCAGTGCAACCAGTCGAAAAACGAACAAAAAGTCGCTGACCTGCGAGCAATATGGTCAGTCATGGTATTCTGGTGTGGTAATAACAGAAAGTACGATGCGCGCTACCTACGCTTGCAATTCGCCTTGAACCACCTGAGAGCTGATAACCCATAGGTAAAACAGGTAAACCGCAGTTTCCATTAAAAGCAGCAAAATAACAAAATACACACCTCCATTTGCCTCCAGTTATGATAAAGAATCGACCGATCACAAAATGGAGAAATACTGCAGTTTGGTTTTATCGTGTCCCGTGTCACCCAAAGGTAGGAAGCGACCTGTGAGAGGCACTGCATCACGCTCTGGCCACAGTTGCACGAACTGCACCCGAATGATGAGAAGACGATGTTCCTGACGTGCAACTTTTCCATGTCTCGTTGTCTGCTGGAAGCTGAGCAGTTACGAACGGAGAAGGGGCACAGCGTTAAATCCGAATCCTCCTGAACCTGAACCAACGTTCTCTCGTCGTTCTTGACGTGTTGGCAGTCTGCCTCCCCATCTTCGTCGACTTCCTCCTCTGAGTATACCGACAACACGTCACTGGCCTCGTCATCATTCGTGTAGTACGCGTCGTCGTCCTCGAAAAACGAGTTGTAATCAGTGCAGTCTTTGACGTCGTCGTCGTCTGATTTATAGTTTTCGTACTCGTCAAAGAACGTTTGCCAAGCTTTCTTGGTGCGCTGAATGAACTCCTCTGTTCGATCGCATAGCACTTCGCTGTTTCTGCGTTTTCGACCCATTGTCAGTTTAAGGTTGGAGCTTTCGTAGCTGGCTATAAAGGAACATGTGTGTAGCTGACAACACAAATACAGCTTAAGCATATTACAATAACTTAAGCACGGCAAGTTTCTCGACTGCGACATTTGGCACTGGCACAACTATTTATATAAACATAATCATAATACCAACAGACCACGCTTTGACAAGACATTAATGCCTAAATCGGATCGTTATTATATAGTATGAGATATCTGTTCTAAACATGAACCAACGAGCGAATAACAAACGATATCAAAAAGAGCGTCATGAGAGTCATAGTTGACAGATTATCTATGCACTGTGTGCAGGTGTGGAGCTGCAAATTATTGAAATATGACATGTGCCTCATGGAGGGTGTATGATGCGGTACCATATACTTTCCCACCACAGTAATCCAATCGCTAGATAATGGCCGTCTACCTCTTTAACTATATAAATCAGTGGTCATCACAGTTAGAAGCAAGAAAAACTGTTTTCCGCTAATCATCAGGTCACAAAATGTATAAGTTCTGTCCTTCATGTCTGTGAGTCGAAGAATTTGTGGGAATAAAAGAATTTACAAAAACTCCGTTAACTGGTATACGTCTAATGTATGGTAGACCTTATTAGGTATTTCGCTGTTTCCTAAACACAGAATCTAGGTTCTGTTTACACTGTGTATTAAAACAAAACGGGTTAACGAAACGGAGAACGCGTTACTTCTTAACTCAGAAATCAAGAGATAACATTCGTAGTTGTGCTCTTAACTGATTCACAATCATAGATATGAATTATGAATTTATATTGTCGATTATCTTGTCATTTCGTGCGATTCATCATACTTACTATTTAAGATGCATTTGTATGTGTGTATCAGTTTCTGCAGTTGATACGGTTTTGCTGTTATTAAGGATATTTATAGGGATATACTGTTGGGGATATAAGGATATACGATACGCATGATACAACATAAAGGCATGCCTCTGCTAAGTATATTCAAGCAATGAAATACAGACAAGTGCACAAAAATGCACACAATGCAAAAGTTAACGTTAATGACGTCAATGGAAAACCACTGTAGCATAATTGTACCCGAAAACTGAATATTAGTAAGATGGACGTCACTCTGCTAGATGAGACACGTTCCATCGTGAGGAGGAATAACTGCAAGAAAATCGGTCGCTTGGTCTGAGAAGACGGAAAAAAATCCAAGCGGGCCAAGTCTTGTAGAGTCATCACCTGGAACCCTATTCGACCGGACTGAAGGACGAACAGGCGTTCTGTCCAAAACATCTGGCAAACGTGAAGTGGAGTCACGTTCGATAGAACGACGCTAAAAACTGAGAGATTCCGGGTTTCGGCCTCAGCTGGGGGTCACTTGCCTTTCTTGTCTCCGAGACTGATAAATGAGTAACAATCTATGAGGAATAACGGACGTTATAAATCATACTTTCCACATAACTGCTGCCCATTCTGCTTTAAAATAAAGCATATCTAGTTGTTAATGGCATGAAAATAAAGATCATCCTATCATTAACTTAATCATAGGAAGGAAACAGGAAATGGCTAAATCATAAAAGTATAAAAGTGAACATTCCAACAGTCAAAAAGTTTTCTTTTTCCTCTTAACTCACATAGGATCGCCACAACTATCAAACGATCAGTAACACTTCATACTGTTGATCACTGAATGAACTTTACTTCACTGAATTTGATTGCACGTCTAATCGTCGACATCTAAGTTTCGAAGCGCTCACTGATGATATTCCAGTTTTAGAACAGTGCTGTTTCTAGTCATTTCCATACATCGTTCACAATGTCTACATTCCAAGGTTGTCAACCAAAGTTTCGTTTATCTGCTATTACATTTCATACCTTTATAACTACGTGACTGACTGCACCTGTTTTGCATTATGTCTTAAGGTTCACAGTTCATTCTCTGTGTAGCATACTGTTCTCAGATCTCGTAAGCAGTGAAAAAGATTCTCGCTTCCTTCTGAAAGCTGATTCCATTTGTATGCTAAAAATCTGTTTGTCAACGACTGCGTTCCAGCAGTAAAATCTTAATCTTCTATCTGAATCGTTAATGATGACGGGAAATTCGTAGAAGCACAACTGTTCAGCACCAGTGCATAAACGCATGGTGTGTACTACGCGTTATTAAATATGCAGCAAAGCACTTAAAGCCACACTTACGAATACAGTGAAAATCCAGTTAATAGCTCAGCAACTAATGAGAAAAGCCTGGAAGATTCTGGTATCCTACAAATACAAACTATTAAAGTAACCAATGAAGAAGTAAGAATTAGAACCACATCATTCTTCTTGAGAACAAATCCCTTCTCCATTCTTAGTTTATGATATCAGCCTAACGAGAAGTTTACTCAAGAAATAAAATCTCCAAAAAAGTCAACAAAGCTAAAGGCTCAGTGATTACTTCCATTTAAACTTTACTACATACGGATTTACATGTTGAAAGCAATCGCTAACTAAGTTCCAAGGCATGATGAAGGGGCTCAGATGGTACAGATCGGCTTTGAACGCCCGAGGTGCAAGGTACGAATCCCGAGAGAAGAACCCAATTTTTTGAACCGCTAATTACCATGAGCAAGGAAATCTTCCCACGCTGCTTAAAAGCGGGCAGGAAATCGATGCTGTGGGAACAACAGGGATAACCGGGTGCTCTGGTGCCGCAATACCAGAATGGGTAAGAGGTATGGCCGTGTTATCTGATACAAGCACCTGTTACGGCTGCAATTCGCCTTCATTCGTCTGACAGCTGATTATTCAGTGCGATAATCAGCATGAAGTGTAAAACAAGCTTTTACTCGTCAGTTGCAAGCCTTGAAAAAATGGATAGTCGAACATTCAACTCTGACCATTTAAGTCGATTAAAGTTTGGGAGACGATGGTCATCGATTTAAACAATCGATTTAAAGTCTATCATTATTTACATTTACAATGACTGATGCGCTGATTCACACAGCATCCGTTTCGTCGTACTGGCGACGGCAACCATCTGATGAACGAACACAGAATTACTCAACATTATGTAATGAATTAGTAAACCTGCCGTAGAAAACGAGTCAAATCTTACAATAAACGAATTCTAAAACAATAATCGAATACATAAGTGCAAAAAAAGATCGGTACAGTTACACGTGAAACAATACGATGCAAGAAACAATACCGGTGAGAAAACTGACACAGCCGCGAATATTTTGGCGGTAAGTATGAACCTGCATATTATGATATGATTGTCGTACGGTCGATTAAAATTTATTCTTATTAATACATACTATAGTAGTGGCAAAGCACTGTTTTCGGAGGTGCTATGAGTTAGAAATCACACTACTCTGCGCATATGGAACGTATGGAATATTTTCACTGTCTGAATAAAATTATTAAAATATTTAATGTTTTGGTTACAGCAAAGCTGACTAACATAGATGACTCTAATAAAGTTTATGGAAAGGAAAGTAAAATTCTATTTGTTAAATACGCTCCATATCGCTTGAGAGAATGAATCAAAATTTATTCTTTCAATGTGACAATGTACAATTTAAGAGAGTACCCTAGCACTATCAAACTGTTCAAAATATATCCCATTACTTTAATGATTACAGGAGAGACATGATATATGCTGGATGATTTTGGAGCATATGAATCTTTCACTTCGAATCCGCGATTGCACCTTATGCTGATTGTTACACCAGGTGATGAGCAAAACGACGGGTCAAGGAAAATGCAATTTTACAGGGGAACTTGCATTGGACGGCATGACCGTACGCATGGTCCATTCTAGCATGACCGAAAAAGAATGCCATCGTATTTTTGTCATTCCCAACTCACGCCCAGTATATCGGTTTTCGGCTAGTTGCGCAGTCTTGTGTTTAATTCACAGATCAAAAGAAATTGCTTGTAAGGCAAAACTTTTCCGTTCTACGATTTCAAAACCGACGTTTCGAGTTCAAAGCGGACTTTTTGCCATTGCAACACCGAAACGTAAGACGTAAGCCTTAAAACACCCCTATTTTATTGACTATGCTTTTTTAGCTCTCAAGGGTACTGTTTCTTTCATCTGTAGTCGCGCAATGATGCCTAAATGGTATCTAAACTCACCGAACAGACAGCATAATTGACTACCTCTCAAAATCGCTACAGAATGGAGACGCAAAAGGACTATCTGCTCAAAAATCATGTGGTCTATCCGTATTAATAACTTCATGGTAAGGAAGAAAACGAAAAATCCTTTCTCGAAAATTCAGCGACGGGAAGTAAGATCTTACAATGAAAACGGTCAGACACAGCCCGATTATCACTCTCAAACGACAGAGCATTATGACTTCAAGAAAAAGCTGCATAGTTTCTGTGATAGACATTATTATCGTACTCTCTACAACAAGAAGTTCACCAAATTGCTTTCACTTTTATACTAAATATAGAAACTAGAAAAGCATGTTATCATATAGGCAGATAATGAAAAGGTCAACTAGCCCGACCCATTATGACT